ACTAGGCCTGCGTTTGACCATGTGGGAATCCAGTGCCTTTACCCACTCCACCTGCCGGCCCCAGATTCATTCACTATTAAGGCTCGCTCTTCTTTTTCTTTTTCTTTTTTTTTAAAGTTTTTCTTTTTTTCCCCCCCTGAGGATATAATACACTTGCCAGAAAGAAACAGATAGGGAGAGGGATAAAGCACCCCTCAACTGGGTGTGGTCATGCCATAATCCCTTCATTTTTTCATCCTTTGGAATTTGGAGCACACACACATGCCTGGAGTACTTTTCAAGTCACCAGGGCCAGGATTCGAACTGCACAGTTAGCCACACAGGGACCAGCTTCCTTAACCATCAGGCCACAGAGCTGCCCCTTTTCTTTCTTTTCTTTTTCTTTTTTTTTTTTTTTTTAGAGGTTTTTGCTATAGGGCACGTGTACTCGCCAGACAGAGACAAGAGACAGAAAGCGAGAAATCACCCCCCAGGGGGGATGGCCACGCTGCAATCCCTCCTCCTCCATTCTCCTCTCAGGATCTTGGGCATGCACACACACGCGCCCGGTGTGAGTTTTAAGCCTCCGGGTCCGGGACACAACCGCGGTCACTACAGGGGAGTCCAGCGACATAGCCATTAGGCTAACTGCTGGTCCCTAGGGCTGCCCCTTTTCTAGGTTTTTTGTTGGGGCTTGTTTTTGTTTTACTTCTTTATTCTGTGACAGAGACAGAGATACAGCACAGCCAGCCAGGCCCCCCAGCCTTCACCAGCTGGATCTCGCACCAGCACACTCAGGGAGGGCTCTGGCTGCAATCCTGCAACCTCACGTGTGGGTTTGCCTTGCAGAAAGTGGTGCGTGACGGTGCTGTTGTGCCGCCGCCGGCCGCGCGGGGCCCCTCCCACTCCCTCTTTAGCGCTGTCTGTCTCTCTGTCTGTAAGTTGACCTTGCCCTCTCTTGCCATAGACATGCTGTCTCCTCACAGTGTAAGGATGTCAACTGGTTGCCCTTATGTCTTAGCCCTGGTGCTCGACATCCAAGAGAATGTCCCCCAGCCCCCAGCGTCTCACGGAGTGACTGATTGGCCTTGCTGAGTCACATGTCCACGTCCTGCCTCTCACCACCCTAAGGGATGGGGGTCAGTGCCTCCAGAACCACTGGGAATAGGGAAGTCGGATCCCAAACAAAAATAGGGATGTGAAACAACAGGTGTCAGCTGAGTCTGCTGCGGCTCTGGGAGGGGGCCAGAGAGGGGCAGAAGGGGGCAGGGTGCCAGCGGGAGAAGTGACGGAAAGGCAAGGCTGAGAGAGTAAGGCCCTGGGGCACAGAACAGCCCGGTTATTTCTGAAGTGGGAAGCCGGTCTGGCAGGCCGCAGAGGCGGGGACGAGGTGATCCGGTGCTAGACAGCACGTCCACTATTTGATCCTACCAGCCACCTTAGGACTGGGTACTGCCATCCCCTTTAGAGAGAGAGAGCGGAGCTCAGGGGCTTCAGTAATTTGCCCAAGGTCGCGCAGGTAGGAAGAGGCAGTGCTGGTATTTCTGACTCTGACCCAGGTTGGGCCACCAGTAAGCCAGAATCTGCACCACGAACCTCCTCTTTTCTCTCCTCCATTTGCAATATCCGAGAATGAAAGCAAGGAGGTAAAGGCGTCATCACAGAGCAACCTTCGGCAAGCCCTCTCCCTCTTCCCGGTCTCAGTCTTCGCATCTTCGAAATGGACACAATTTTGCGTCCAGGAGTCCCAGCAAGCGCCTAGATCTTTGAAGAGCACAGGGAGCCGCAAGCCGGCTCCAGGCTGCGGAGGCGGAGCGGGAGCGGCTCAAGGCGAGCGCCTGCCCCCGGGCTTGCAAAAGTTACCTGGCTGCTGGGGGCTGGAGGTGGGGGAGTTACCGGCTGCGCGCGCGCCGGCCCCGCCCTCAGCGTCTTCAGGCACCTGTGGGCCTGCCATCCAATAGGCAGCCTCCCTGACCCAGCCAGGCCCCGCCCAGCTCCAGGATTCACCAATCCTGGTTGGCCGCAGCCCTCTCTGCCGGAGGACCCGCCCCTCAGAGCGCTTCTTCCGGGTGGGGCCCGGGGCCGAGGCGATGGCGCCCTGGGCGCTCCTCAGCCCTGGGGTCCTGGTGCGGACCGGGCACACCGTGCTGACCTGGGGGATCACGCTGGTGCTCTTCCTGCACGATACCGGTGAGCCGGCCCCTCGTGTCTCCCTGGACGTTTGAGTCTTATTGGGTCCCCAGCCTAATCCCCAAAGATCTTGGGATCCTCCCGAGCTCGGCCAGCTCCTGAGGCCCCTCCCCGCCTGTCATTCCAAGAGCCACCTGCTCTCTGCCTGTTACCCAGTCGATCCCGAATTAATGCCAGCATCTTCCTGATCACTGCCAGACGCTCTGTGCATCCCAGGACCCATCCAGTGCCAGACTCGAGGACCGATTTGAGCCCCCGTCTCCCCTGATCCTGCGATCCACCTGATCCTTCCCAGGAATTGGCTGCCAACCTGCCTGTCCCTAAGATTATGAGGATCAACTAGATTCAAGAATTGGCATGCCTGGCCACGCCCCTACCCCCTCACCTGTGGCTACTGCTGCCCAAGTCCAGACTCCCCACCCTCAGACAACAGAACTCCCCTGCAGGTAGGGGAGTGCCCGTCCCAGGTACCTCCCACCCACCTCCATTTCTGTCAATCCCCTTAGCAGCCCCCTCCCAAATGCTCTACCTGCCTAAGACAGCCTCCCCTACCCCCACGCCAGGCCTAGACTAGGCGCCCTCTTTCCTCCCAAACCCCAGACCTCCACCACCGTTGCCCTCAGTTTATAAACTTGCTCAGGTCTCTCGGTAACAGCCCCCTCCTCCCCTCCCATCTCCGCGCCCCTTTTACAACCAAGTCGCACCAGAGTTAGCCACACTGTCATGTGACTGTCTCAACCCTGTCACTTTGCCCCCCAGCTGCCCAGAACCTGCTTGCCCCTTCCCGGCTTGGTGTCCCCGCATGCCCCTCTGCGACATGAGCTTGCAGGCTCTGCCCTCCCATGTCCCTGCCCCCAGCACTTCACAGTTGGTCTCTCCATCATGGAGCTGAAGATCAGGGACCCCTCCTCACTGCCCCGCATCCCGGCATGTGACTACCCCCATTCCTTCCAGTGCCACCGGGCCTTGCTCAGTGCCCCTCCCCTTCCTCTGTCCAGATGGCTCTACTTCCAGGCCTCCCCTCAGACCCAGCCTCTGCCCAGCAGCAGGAGGGCTTTCAGGAACAGCCCCTGCCCTGTGGCCTCCCATGGGTCCCTGTGACCCCAGATAAGTGAGAGGAACTGCCCCACCCCGCCCTGTGCTCTGGCCACACTTGGCCTTTGCCCAGGAGCACACTTCCCCAGTCCAGCCCCGGCCCAGCCCACCCGGCCCAGCCTCACTGTCCTCCTCGGGTCTCTGCAGAGCTGCGGCGGTGGGAGGAACAGGGGGAGCTGCTGCTGCCCCTTGCCTTCCTGCTCCTGGTGCTGGGCTCCCTGCTGCTCTACCTGGCCGTGTCACTCATGGACCCTGGCTACGTGAGCCTTCAGCCCCAGCCCCAGGTAACTGGGCCCCTCCTCCCGTCAGCAGGGCCCGGCGATCCCGCAGTCCCACTAACAGCCTCATGCCGGGCCCTGTGCTGCAGGCTTTTGTGGGACCTCTCAGGGATCCCTCTTGCAGTCCCTAAAACTACCTGCTTCCATGAGAAACGGGCAAGGCCCAGAGAGGGAGAACAACTTGCTAGGGTCACAGAGCCTCACACAGCCCAGAGTGCTCTGCCCACCCCGCACCCCTATTCTGCATGGAGTGGGCCCCAAACTCCACACCCAGAACTAGGCTGGCACCCAAGGGAGACGCCCAGCAGTGCCACCTGCCTAAGGGATCCTGACTTATCCCGTCCCTCAATTTCAGGAGGAGCCCAAGGAGGAGCAGACAGCCATGGTTCCTCAGGTCGTGCCCCTTCGGCGCTGCAGATACTGCCTGGTGCTGGTGGGTGACGCAGGGACTCCATGGGAGGGGCCAGGGACATGAAGACCGACTTTGTCCTGTCCCAGTGTCCTTGTCTTGCCTCTCCTCTAGGAAGGCCTCCCAGATTGGGGCCCTGATCCCGGTCCTCATCCCTCCTTCAGTGGTAGGCCACGGGATGGGTGTTGAGCCTCGACTCCCCTCCAATGTCCACAGCAGCCCCTGCGGGCCCGGCACTGCAGGGACTGCCGCCGCTGCGTCCGCCGCTACGACCACCACTGCCCCTGGATGGAGAACTGCGTGGGGGAGCGCAACCATCCGCTCTTCGTGGCCTACTTGGCCCTGCAGCTGGTGGTGCTTCTGTGGGGCCTGCACCTGGCCTGGTAGGTGCTGGGGGAGGGCAGCACGCACCCACAGGTGTGTGCAGACCTGGGCACCCGGGCTCGCCTGCCTGCCCCTAGCCCTGGGTCCCTGTCTTACAGGTCCGGCCTCCGGTTCTTCCAGCCCTGGGGGCTGTGGCTGCGGTCCTGTGGGCTCCTGTTCGTCACCTTTCTGCTGCTGTCCCTCTCCTCCCTGGTGGCCGGCCTGCTGCTGGCCTCGCACCTGTACCTGGTGGCCAGCAACACCACCACTTGGGAGTTCATCTCCTCACACCGCATCGCCTACCTCCGCCAGCGCCCCAGCAACCCCTTCGACCGCGGCCTGACCCGCAACCTGGCCCACTTCTTCTGTGGGTGGCCCTCAGGGTCCTGGGAGACGCTCTGGGCTGAGGAGGAGGAGGGCAGGAGCCAGGTTGTTTAGGGTCCCTGGAGGCAGGGCCACCATCCTGTGGCTGGAACCAGAAGGGCTGGCCCCAGCTGGGGCAGCGCTGGGGGCCTGGGCTCCTCACTCCTGCCACTCCTCCAGCTGGAGCAGAGCCTCAGGACGGAATCCCTGCCTCCAGGGCAGTTCTGCTTTCCAAGGAAGGGGAGAGGAAGAGGACCTGGGGGCGGGCACAGAGGCTGGGGCCCCCACCCCAGCCGGCTGCCTCCACTGCAGTTTTACAGGTTTAATAATCCGCGAAGCCAGTCGAGCATTAAAAATACAAACCCCCCCACC